TTAAAAAAAAAAAAAAAAAAAAAAAAAAAAAAAAAAGTAGGGAAGATGAACGATGGAGCACAACAACATTGGGCTCAACCATTCGGATTATCGAAGCCCACGGTAGAATCCAGACCCACTGCCAGAATTAAGCAACAATTTATACAAGGGAGCTGAAAAGACCAGACTTTAATGTTAGGATTCGAAGGCAATGGTCATTCTTGGTAGAGGTTTAGGGTTTAACCACAAGCAATTCTTCTCCTTCCCCAAGTTTTTCTTTCTCCGTCCTTTCATGGCTACTTCTCCTGTCGCTTCCTATTCCACTGGTTCCCCTGGTGGCGCCGTTTCGGTGAAGCGAGTAGGGACTCACCATGGTAGCTTCCATTGCGATGAGGCGCTTGGCTGCTTCATGATTCGCTTGACGCAGAAGTTCTCTAATGCTCAGATTGTTCGAACCCGTGATCCCCAGGTTCGCGTTTTCTATTCCCTGTCTTGTCAAATGAAAATAGAAATTGAGTTGTAGTTCGGTTATAGACTGCTGGGTTTTGCTGAATAGCTGTAGAAATTTCCTAGAATTTGTTTGGGTTTTTTTTTTTCTTATCAGTAATGTAAATCTGGGTTTTTGTTTCTGCCAAGTTGCGAGAGAACTGAGTATTTTCAACAGAGTCTTGTTCGTTTTGTGATGTTTCCTTCTCATTTGTTTGCTTGGTAGTTTATGGACTGGATTTTGGCCTAGGCATGAAACTGTCGTCTCTGATTTGAATTGGTTGCTAGGTATTAGAAGGTCTTGATGCAGTTCTTGATGTTGGGGGCGTGTATGACCCAAGTCATGATCGTTATGACCATCATCAAAAGGGGTTTGAAGAAGTTTTTGGCCATGGTTTCAACACTAAGCTCAGCAGCGCTGGTCTTGTTTATAAGGTAGGTAGTCGCCTTTCCAAGACCATCTCTAAAATTTGACAAGTGATAATATATCCAAGTTCTTACTTGTTCGTCGTTAAACAGTGTTATCGGATTTTCTTTTCATGAATAACCTTTATCATGCTGCTTACAAAAAATTTAGTAGTTATGATTGTTATTGTTGTTGTTGTTCTGCTCCAGCATTTTGGGAAGGAGATTATTGCAAAGGAGCTTCAAGTTGATGAAGGCCACCCAGACGTGCAAAGGCTATTTTTGGCTGTATACAAAAGTTTCATGGAGGTGTGAATTCAATTTTTTGATTAATCCTTTTTATCTCGTTTCCATTGTTAAATATCATGAAAGTTTTAACCTCAAGAATTTTCTGCACGGGGTTGGCTAACGTTTTTTTATATTTATGTCTGTTTATCTTTTGACGTTCGTGCTTATTTTTTCAGGGCATTGATGCTATAGATAACGGTATCAATCAGTATGATACAGACCAGCCACCAAAATATGTGAATAACACACACCTATCTTCAAGGGTGGGGAGATTGAATCTGGACTGGATTGATCCCGATCAATCATCCGAGAATGAGAATAAAGCCTTTGAGAAAGCAATGGCTCTGGCTGGCAGCGAGTTCTTAGATGTGAGGTTTCTTGAGTGTCTATGGATACAAAATAGTCTCTTAAAATCCTGAACCCAACCATGTTTCCTGAGCTTGTTTACTTGGTTGAGTTGCTTCCTGATCCTTGCTTAATTTCAGAGTGTTCGGTTTCATGCCAAATCATGGCTACCAGCAAGGTCGATCGTGATGAGATGTCTTGGAGCAAGACATGATATCGACCCTAGTGGAGAAATAATGGTTTTGACAACATTTTGCCCTGTAAGTACTCACTTGTTTATCGTTTTAACTATGGTTTTCTTCATTCACTTTGTTTTTTTTTCATCTTGTCATTGGAGAGGTTAGGACATACAAGTTACAAGTTGTATATGCTTTATATCAGTAACGATTACGTAATTTTCTTTTAACAATAGTGGAAACTTCATCTATTTGAGCTCGAGACGGAGTTGAAGAACGACAATTTGATCAAATATGTGCTCTATCAGGTATATGTAACTTCCAACAATTTAAGCCGACAGAGCAGAGCTATCAGAAATGTTTTGTTATTTTCCATTTTAATGCGTTGTGATTTTCAGGACGATCGAAGCAAGCAGTGGCGAGTGCAGGCAGTGGCAATAGCTCCTGACAGATTCGAGAGTCGCAAGCCTCTGCCTGCCCAATGGCGAGGTTTAAGGGACGAGGAACTCTCAAAAGAGTCGGGGATCCCCGGTTGCGTGTTTGTTCATATGAGTGGCTTTATAGGTGGAAATCAAACTTACGAAGGGGCTCTTGCCATGGCGAAGCAAGCATTGAAGCTGTAGATACTCGACATCTTTTTATATATTTACTTGGCTCGTAGCATCGATCAGAGAATCGTGCGTTAACGAGAGTTTGAGGCTTACCGTTTTATGACTTTCTCTGAGCCCTTCAATTCTTTCAATTTGAAACATTTGCTGCTGTAACGAATTGGGATATTTCTATCTGGTTTTTTCTTACTTGTTTTGAAGATTTTACAACCTTCTGCAACTCAAATCTGAAATAATGTCATGCGTCCATATAATTACACTAAAATTCAGTGCATGAGAAATCAATAGCCAATATAATTTCTTGTACAAACTACAGAGAAATGCTTATAACACAAAAATGCTTCAGGTAAAGAGTGGGCATCCTTCCACAGTAACTCCGGGGGCAGTCGGGCACTGCGCGAGCGGACAACCATCGAGGTCATTCCCCCACCAGTCGAGGCTGATCTCATGCTGCCCTAATGAGAAATACAACAGCACCCCCATGAAAGCAAGACCAGCATCCAAAGCCCCTGAGAGAATGTAGTTATGCCTTCGCCACCATTCTGGCTTATATCTGTACGCAACAAATCCAGAAAGAAACCCCATAATGATCCAAGTGATGTAGTTTACAGCGGTGGCTGGAGGCATATAGGCAGTGGCCCCAATCAGCACAGGCATATTGACAAGTTTGATCCACTCATGCTGTGGAAATGCCTTGACAGCCAACCATACAAAAACAGGAGCAATTGCACCCACAAGAAAGAACCAATTTACTGATGAGTAATGTCCAAGGTCCCCGAAAATTCGACGAGGACCGATCAACCCCCATATCACCGAGGCATCGTAGAACACCCTGTCCGACGGGCAAGTCCAGAAGGATTGAGATGAGCTACAAATTTCAGGGATGGTTTCCAAGAGCCACCAGGCAGTGCCCAAGTACACAACGCTAGCAACTAATGTTCCAACAACCTAAACACTCAAAACAACAAGATTTAGTAAGTGCTTGTATCATTTGTGATGAAGAAAGTAAAAGAAAATGACCTGAGTCATGAACATGGTTCTTGGTGGGATCTTCATGTAATGGCCAAGCTTGAAATCTTGTAAAAAGGTAATGGCTTGAGTCATGCTAATGTATCCATACACTTTGAAGCACATGTTAGCGACGGGATATCCCGGGTAGATATATCCGATAATGTACTCGGTGATTATGTTCAAGCCCGGAGTTTGGTTGGTGATGGCAGTGATGATTCCTATAGGGAGAGTGAAGAAAATGGCAATGCCACAGGCAAGTAGAACTCCCCACCACGGCAACTGAAGTTGGTCGTTGTAGTATTCGCATGCGAAAATGGTGAGTGCGATATTCGCCACAAGAATTAACACGAACCACCATTCAGGAACTTGTTTGTACTTGCTCATCATCTTTGTATGTATGTCCATCGTCTTCTCTTGAAAGCTCGACTTGCTTTGCTGCCATATTTCCCTAGACATGTCACATCAGCCAGCGACTAAGTAGAATCACAAACATCAAAGTTTAGAGACTAAATGTATCGGACAATACCTTCCATGGAAGAGAGCAACATGAACAATGGTAGCAGAAAGAGCAGCAAAGCCAACACCATAAGTTAGAGCAAAGAAAGTACTAATATAAAGCTCCCCTTGTCTGGTATAAGCAGCAGGATCAAGGTGAAAATTGGAGTCAACAATGGCGGAAATGTCATACTTCTGGCCTTTCCCAGTAAACAATCCATCAGAAAAAATGGGAAATGTGGTGGCCTTGTAAAGGTTGAACCAGTAGCAGATTGGGGTCAAGATGTACATGATGAACACAAAGCCAACTGCAACATTGGCAGTGGCAAACCATGGGCTGGCAAGTGGGCTGCCCAAGTAGGAGGAGATGGTGGACCAGTCGAGTCCAATGGAGCCGAGGCCCAGCCCATATAGGCCCGAACCAATCTGTTGGGCCAGAATGGAAGTGGGGAATACCCAGCAGACCCATGAGAGAGAGGTGAGCATTTGGAAGAGGTAGCCTGGGAAGACGTAATAGGCGAAGCTGCAAATGAAAGCAACCACAAAGAATTGGGTTCGGGTTAAGCCTCCCTTGGTTCGTTCTTCTTTCTCGTGCAGAGCCCTGTGGATCAAATCAATTTCAAAAACTAAATTCAAAAGTATTATATCAATTTAGCCACCAAATTTACCACTTTGACCATAAACTCTCGTGACTTTGCTTTGGATATAGACATGTAAAGTCAACTATAAAAAAAAAAAAAAAATCATACTCAACCATAAAATAAATAAATAAATGAATAACGTGCAAAGCTAACCTATAACACAATGAAAAAGTAATGAAAAGAAAAGAATAATCATAATAATCCAGATGGTTTAAATTAAGAATAAAATAAAAATGTGGATGATTAGACTAAAATAATTGAAAGGACAGCTACAGAGGAATAATGAATGGTTTTATTTATTTAATATTTAATAAATTGGAATAAAACAAAATAGGTGTGTAATTTGATTGGTCGGGCACTCCATGTTCTTACGCCGTTTTGGAATCCTACATAAACGTCTTATTCCATTTCATCGCGATCTAAGCTAAACATAACGTACAAGTCTCTAATGTCCCTTTTCGCGTTTTTCACTTCACTCCCTTACCTTTTTTTATTTTTTATTTTAGTCCTTATTCTTTTTATTATTAAATTTTAATTTATTTTATTTGATAGTAATATTAATCCATCTACGTGACCCTCACTCTTTTAAAACTCGTATACTAAAAAGAAGTTTTCACACTCTTTATAAAGAATATTTCGTTCACATCTCAAACCGATGTTGGATCTCACAATTTACCTTCTTGGAGGTCAGCATTCTTGCTGACACACGGTTCAGTGTTTGACTCTGATTCCATTGGTAACAGCCGAAACCCACCGCTAGCAGATATTATTCTTTTTGGACTATTATGAGATCCCACATTGGCGGGAGAGGGGAACGAAATATTCCTCATAAGAGTGTGGAAATCTTTTTCTAATAAACGTTATAAAATCGTGAAGCTGACAAAACAATAGGTCAAAGCAGATAATATCTACTAAGCTTACGGTTACCTATCTAACATAAAGATTAAAAAAAAAAAAGAAATTTCAACATACTTTTTTTGTTTCTTAGTATTGTTAAATTTGGTCAAAAAATCAATAATAAAACATGTGTTTGACATGGATAGCTAAAAGTTAATAAAGTTTTAAACTTTATAAACTAAATTTATATATATATATATATAAATAAACAAAGTAAGCCGACAAAAACAGCAAAAGAGTTGGTAGAAATTGTGTGAACGGAACGGAATTTGGAAGGTTAAAATATCTAATCGATTTTGTAGAAATTTAAATGAATAAAAAAGAAAAAAAAATCTCAGAAAATTCTCCAATTGGCCCATGAAAACAGCATAATTGAAAAATGTAAAAAGTGTGAGGGACTATATGCAACTTTTTGGATATCAGGGGCTAAATTGAAAAAGAAAAAAGATTCTAGTAATTCCATACCTGAACAGAGAAACCTGAACCAAATTCGCCGGCCACCACATCGCCGCTGGCTCCACCAGATACTTCCTGAATATCCCCGCCCATCCAAATCCCAACACCTAATCTTATACAATTTCAATCAATTTCGATTTTCAACGCACAAATTCACACAAACAAAACAGGGGAAATCGAAACAAAAAAAGAAAAAAAAAAACGAAAAATCTCACCCACCTGAGTCGTAACGACGACAATGAGAGAAACGAGGAAGCTCATATGTTGCCTGTAGAAGGTTTTGACCACCGTGACGACGTGAATCGCGTACACGGAGCCGGCGCCGGAGTTGGCGAAGATCGTGATGAGAACGTGCTCCTTGACATTAAAAGGGCCAGGGTTAAGCGAAAACTCCCAGCGACTTCCTTTGAAGAAGATCCGATCTGTGAGTGTGGAAGCCATAAGACGGCCGAGAGGAACGACGGCGATCTGCGCGGAAATGGCAGTGATGGAGAGAGGCTCTTTGCGGTACCAGAAGAACTGGTTGAGAAAAGAGAGAAGAACGCAGGAGAGAGTTCCGAGGAACCACATTCGGAAGGTGAGAACCGGTAGAGAAGGGTCGTCGGTGGTCGGAACCGTGAGAGCCACCTGAGGAATCGGCGAGTTTTCTTCCGGCGGCGGAGATGTGGATGAAGAAGAAGCTTGTTCATGGCTCCTGCTGGGAACTGAAATGAGAAAAACGATGAGAAATGGAAAAATGAAAAGAGAAATTGGGGGTTTTGTTGTTCCTTACTCAGAGGAACTCTAATTTGATCCGTTGAATCTTCCATTATTGTGTGTTGTGTTTGTGTTTCTGTGTTCCTGATTTATTGTTATATGTAAATGAATTTCTAAAATTGCAAATGGAATTATTAGATAAGAGTTATTATTGTAGTTGTTGTCTTTGTTGGCCATTATTCACACACGTTCTTCTTTTCTTTTTTCTTGCCTTTTTTTTTCTTCTTTAATTCCAATTATTATTATTCAACTAGATGGTTAATTAATTTGATACGTTTCAAGCATATGATTCAAAATTTGGCGTATGTATATAGATATAAGTAATTAGATAATTTCATGTGATATTATTTTCTGACATTGGATGCTTCATGTGTTATCAGAACATTTGATATCATTAATATTTTATGTGTTGTATTGTATTTATGAACTAATAATTATATGGGGCACATTCCAAATTATTCTATTCTATCACCCCACGTCACTGCAACCTTACATTTTCGTCATTTAAAAAACAGGGTAAGTATTAAAGACACTCACTTGTGTGGGCAAATATGTGTACCATTGTATATAGTTCATCAATCAAAATTAGGGACCTTGGTGGTGATTACGTGAAACAATGGTAAGATCCCACATTAGTTGGAGAGGGGAACAAAGCGCTAGCGAGGACGCTGTGCTACTAAGGAGGTGAATTGTGTGATCCTACATCAATGGGAGACAAAAATGAAGTATTCCTTACAAGGCGTGAAAACTAGTTCTGAGTAGACATAGTATTATGTGTTAGCGAGGACGCTCGACTTCCAAGGGAGATGGATTGTAAGATCTCACATTGGTTGGAGAGGGAATAAAGGGAGGTGGATTAGAGAGGGGAACAAAGTATTCTTAATAAGGATGTGGAAATCTCTCCCTGGCAGACGCGTTTTAAACCGTGAGGTTAACGACGATGATACGTAACGGACCAAATCGAACGATATCCGCTAGCGGTAGGTTTAGATTATTATTTTTATTTATTTTTTTGCTGGATTTTCACAGAATATGAAAATGACATGAAAATGATGGTTGAGCATAAGGTGAGGTCGGTGGTTTAGTTGATGTATTTTTGAATCGAGTCATTTATTGGTATTTTTAATAGTCTAACCAACATTTTCTCTTTTTAGATATAGATCCATAGATCCAAAGAGAATAAACCTATATTATGTGGGAGAGCGAGTGATAATGACACTCTAAATATCACTCTAAATTAATTGGGTCGTGGATGAAATCAAATTCGTACAAAATAATAATGATCTCAATATCGATATTATATTTTTAACCTCCAACTTTTTGGTCAATAACATACATTTTGAATATTAAAAATTTATGTAAAAAAGGATCGAGAAACATTTGTCGGGATTGGTGACTAAAAAGACTTAGGCGAGGCAAGCTGAACAAGCTAGTTTTCAAGAGCATGCTACACGTTGAGTAAAAGAAAAACACCATTGAACACTGGAACAAAATGATAATATTAATACATAAATTGAATTCTTGACTTGCAAGGTAAGTTACAAGGATATAACTGAATGTTGGAAAAAAAGAAACAGCTGAAAGCAAAATTATAAGAGTAGTTTTTTCATATGGAAGAAATTGCAGAAAGAACTCATGGGAATGAGTAAGAATAATACATGGAAAATAGTTTGCACTATGAGAAGAATAATGTGACAATGAATGAATGTGTCTAAACTATGAAATGAATTGGTATATATATATATATAAGTTAAACATGGCTGAGCTCAGAGTGAGAAGATGTTGGGAGTTAGGACTTGGTTGGATGGATGGACAGACTGCTAAAATATAAGCTCAGTAGTAAAATAAGAACATGACCATCATCCATCTTGCCAGAGTTGCCAAAAAATGAAGAAGAAGAAGAAGAAGAAGAAGAAGATGAAGAAAACAAACTTGTAAATCCATTGGGCTTCATTCAAATAGCAGCACCTTTCTTCTTTGACATCCACCTCTTCTTGGCACTTTCAATAGCTTCCTCTCTCATTCTCGACAGTTCACAAAGGCACTGGTGGTACTGCATGTCAATAGCATCAATCTCCATCTTCAGTTCATCATGCTGGTCTCTTTCTTCCACAGAAAAATTGGAGAAGTTAGACAAGCTCAATTCTTTCGACATTCCTGAGCAGGAGGAGATCAGGGACGGTTTGGCAAAATCGAACATAGTCGAAACAGATCCAACAGCATCTAAATCGCTGGTTCCGCTGCCGCTGCTGATAAAAGCTTTGTCGCATTCCGGGTGGCTGAAGTCACCACACTCTGATCCTCCTTTTCCCAGGCTGTAATCTGAGATGGTTGAGTGGTTGTAGTCCAGAGATGCACATGAGATGATTGTCTGCTGGTTTTCTTGATGTTCCACCTCCGCTAATTCTGTCAGAGTTTTCCTACCGGCGCCCACCAAGGGAGAAGACAGTACCATCTCAGAGAAGAGAGGAGGACTGAAGGCCTTATCCTCTTCAGTTTCAGAAGAACTATGTTCAGTAATTAGTCCGTCACAACAATTTGTACATTGTTGCCAACTGGGAACAAACTTGGCAATTAATTCATCTATCAGTTGTGCTATGATGGTAGCATCTTCATTTGACAGTTCAAGTTGTTCAACCATCTCCAAAGCAATAGCCAACGCAGTATCGGAATCGAGAAAGAACGCAAAATGGATGTTCTTCGATTGACCTAAAATAAATGTTCCAAGTTACCATCATGTGTATCAAAGAACTTTAAGAAGATTACGGATGAGTTGACCAAAAAAGTTACCAGATAATTCGGCAATGCGCAAATGGAACGAAATCGAATTATGATCAGTCATGTCCCCTTTCAGTGTCAATTCATTGTTCTCAGTGAGCGTCTTGAGTTCCTGAGTTGAAAAGTGAGAAATTTCATTATTGCTTTCGATAGATGAGGCCACTGAGCCTGAGAGTTTGCTGCAATTGTGATCCATGTCCATTGGATTAGTATCCAGCAGAGGAGGATTTACTGATTCGAACTGCGCATTCAATAACATTGAAGGTTCGGAGCTATGATCCTTGCGATTTTCAGTTGCAAGGAATGGATCTTTCAAGAGTTCACTTGCAGGTAGTCTCATGGATGCTGGAACCAGACACTTCTCTATGAACTGTTTAACTTGAGGATCCAACACTTTTTCAAGGGAAGCAGGCATTACACCCTGGAAGAAACAAGAAAATGATTCCAAAACTTCACATCTGATGGAAACATTTAGTGAACATAATCTGGTAAGAGGTAAATCATGTTCTACTTACAGAAGTAACCTTCTTGAATATTTGGGCAGAATTTTTGCACTCATTATATGGGTATTCACAAGTAACAATTTCCAACATGCACATGCCAAAAGAATAGATATCAACAAGTTCATTGTAGTCCTCATCATAGAGCTCTGGAGCCATGAACTCTGGAGTGCCTAGATAATAATCATCAAATATTAGTTGAAGTTCGTTCTGCTGCAATCTAGAATTCTATCCCCAAAATAGAAATCGAGCAAGAAAATGAAAATTACCAATTACACTTCGGGCAGTCGGCTGCTGCAAGACGATCGCCAATCCGAGATCTCCGATTTTAACTTCTCCAGTATTTCCATTGACAAATATATTATCACATTTCAAATCCCTGTGAATAATTGGAGGATCCTGACCGTGCAAATACGTTAAACCCCGCAGTATCTTCCTTGCCCAGTTCTTGAAAGCCTTCAAGTCCACTTTCCTGTGCTTCTTTCGATATCTGAATTCCGAAGTATACCATAAGTGAACAAATAACTCATTGAATGCAGTAAAATGTTAATAAGAAACAAATAACCGAAACAAAATGAAGACTCTTTGGTGGTTCTTACTGCCTCAAACTCCCAGAAGTGAACAATTCTGTAATCATGTTGATAGTCTTAGTGTTATCATCAACCCAGTAACTATAGAACTTGATAATATTCTCATGTTTCAGTGACTTCAGCAAATGAACCTCAGAATACAATCTTTGAAGTTGTTCAGGTGACTGCAAAACATCTTCAATGTCCACTTGGCTCCAAGCAACTTCAATTCCACCAGCTTTATCGAAAGCTTTGAATCTGATGATAATAAAAACAGATCTCAAGTCAAATAATATACCCTCTCTTGATCCAACAATATTCAACCTAAACTGATTAACAAACTAGAAGAGAAAAAAAAAGTAATAAAAGAACTGAGATTGATAGACAGCAGAAGCATACACTGTCTTGAATGCCCCTTTACCCAAGATCTCATCGTACTGAAAAATATATATATGAAAAACGAGGATTAAATCATACGCCAAATAGAATAAGAACATCTCAACTAAGAATAAAAACATTAGTAGTCGATCGTTAAACCAAAATAATAACAAGTTTGGTGGTTATGCCCAAATTTTCTCCTCCTCCCCTCACGAAATCAGCAGTGAATCCCAAAATTAAGATCACTCAATTCAGATTTCAAAATAGAGTAATTAAACACCTGGACAAAATGTAAATCAATCGCTAGGGTAATTAGCTGAAGAACAACAAGCGGTAGATACGAATCAAAACATCCAAAATCGAAAAAGAAATAGAAAAGAAATACCCGTATATATCGTCCAGTTGGATCCTTCTCTAAAATATTAAGATCATCAGCCTCAGAATTCCCAGACATGAAATCCGAACCACAACTCATCGCAACGCAGAAAGACGAAGAAATAGAAACAAAAATCGCGAAAAAAAGAAAAAGAGATAAAAAAAATCCTCTGCTCAAAGAGCAAACGGTCAGATAACGACGATCAAACGAGAAAGGTATTCAGAAAAGGCCTCGGAAGCCACATCAAATGCAGATTGAAAGTGAAATTGGCGACCCATGAACAATTCCATAGCGGGTTGAAATTCGTAAGAATAAATTGGATGAACGAAATTCTGACACATGATCATCAAGGGAAAAACAGGGTCGGCCATATAAACATCACCATAACTAAACAATTTTTGCTGGATCAAATTGAAAACCTAAATTGGATTGCAGAGTAAAAAATAGGGTATTGATAAGATTAGTTGAATTGTCGAAATCTTAAATCTGTTATATCCGATTAAAAATGAAATGCTCAATTTAGG